GTGAACACACCAAAATCACTGCCCTCATGGGGCTCACATTCTAGGAGAATAAAAGGTAAAACAATAGGTGCTGTGTTAGCTGTTTACACCAATGAAGCTGAAGAACATAAGGTCTGTCCTCCACGCGTGTGGGCTGGTGCAATTTTACAGAGTGGTCACAGAAAGCTTTCCTGTGCTGTTACATTCAGCCAAGCCCTGAAGATCAGTGGGAATCTGGGCTCAGAGGATGCCAGGCAAAAGAAACAAAGCAAAGGCCCTAAGGGAGGAGAAGAGTTCTGGGCATTCTGTGACCAAGCAATACAACACCAACACTGGGGCCTTGTGATGATAGTTTTCCTCTGAGGTGGGAAATCACTGCAGGATTTTGAGGTGTGACTTGATCAGTTTGACTACCTTATTGAAAACAGACCAAAGTAAGGGGAAGGCAAAAGCAAAAAGACTGGTTTAGGAGGATACTCCAATAATTCTGGGGAGGCAATGGCAACTTGGGACAGGGTGACAGAATAATGGACAAATACTCAAATTTTGAAGGTGGAACTGGTAGGATTTAGTATGGAATACAATGTGTGATAAAAGAGATGACTCAGGATGGCTCCAAGGTTTCGGGCCTGAACATCTGGAAGAATGAAGTACTGATTTACTGAGACGGAACAGGTCTGTGGTAAACCAGCTTAATTTCAGGCATGTTAAGTTTGAGATGCCTATTCAACCAGAGGTTCTCAAAGTGTGGTCTGGGGACTCCTGGGGATCTCTGAGACTCTTTCAACACTCTGTGAAGTCAAAACTTTTTATAATACTGAGAGATCATTTTCCTTCCTCACTTTAATTCTCTTGCGAGCACAGTGTTTTTGAGGCTGCAAGACGTGGTGATAGTATTCTGACAGTTAATGGAATGTGGGCTTGTAGATTTCATTTTTTAAAAATGCTTTGATTTCTAGTATGGTAATTATCAATAGATATAACCCACATAAACAAAATCTCTTTGGTTCCTCAGTAATTTAAGAGAGTAAGGGAGTTCTGAGACCAAAAAGTTTGAGGACCATAGTATTAGACACTCAAATGGGGGCACTTGATATGTGTGTGAAGTTCAGAGAGGAAGCTGGGCCTGCGGATGTAGTCTGGGAGGAATTTTCATAGACATGAATCATGAGACAATGGAATCACCAAGGGAGGAAAAGTAAAAAGGAGAGAGATTCTGGCTGAGTCAGGTGGCACTCCAACATTTAGACATTGGGAAGACCAGAAGAACGAGCAGGAGAGACTGAGAAGGAATAGTCAGGTGGGAAGCCAACAGAGACCTTGGTAAGAACACCAGATTCAAGAGGACAGGGGAAAGGAGTCGAAGATAATAAAGAAGTTATGCTTTACGGGGAAGATGGAAATGGACCAGTAGCTCAAGGGGAAGTGGGGGCCCAAAAGGTTTTTATTTAACATGAAAAATATAACAGCAGGTTCATAGGCTATTGACATGAGGAAAAGGAGAAAAAAAAAAAAAAAAAACCCAAACCCCCACGACTGATGAAGGAAAACAAGGAGAGATGAGACTTCAAAACAATGTCCTCAAGAAATGATGTCCTATGCATAAGTGGGTGGGATTTGCTTCAGACAGGAGCACAGACAGTCCCAGTACAACAGAAACAGGAATAGATGTGGTCCGCTGTAGGTAGCTGCTGAGTTCACGTAGGAGCTTATGAAGTTATGCTTGAACTTTCAGTGAAACTGAGAATGTAGGTAGTATTGGGAGTTTGAGAAGCATGGGAAACACCTCTGAGAGCCATGAAGCCAATGGCTGGACATAGCTGAGCAGCATTAAAGTCCTGCTTGTGAGCAAGAATTAAAGTGTAACCCACTGAGCATACTTGTTTTTCTCTAGCCATGTTCATTTGCATGGGCATAGACAAGTAGGCAAAACACTGAATTAACTGGTTTGTTTTAGCCAGAAATGAGAAAAAGTAACACTGGACAATGTGAGCAAGCCAGGAGCTAAAATCTGAGGACTGAGACCTCAAGGAGCATTAAATAACAAAAGGGAGGGGGAGTAGATGACAAGTCTGATGATAGCAGATTCAAAGCTGAGTTCTTCTGGGGTGGATCTGAAGTATAAATAGAGAGCAATTAAGAGACACCTACATCACTCCTGGACCCAGAAGAACCAGAAGTGTGGGAGTCATAACAGTAGCACCCCAAGTGGCCTGTGAGAAAGCTACTTCTGGGGTGGATCTGAAGTATAAATAGAGAGCAAGGAAGAGACACCTACACCACTCCCGGACTCAGACGAACCAGAAGTGTGGGAGTCATAATAGTAGCACCCCAAGTGGCCTGTGAGAAAGCCAGGCTTGTTAGAGCCAAGAAGGTAAAGGGACTGGTCACAGGAGGGGTGCTGATACATGAATTCCAGAGGACACAGTAAAGTTTAAGAGCAGGGAATGGTGTCAGAAAAGGTAATGAAATGAGCTCCTTGGAGATTAGTCTGAAAAGAGGGATGGCAAGGAGCCCTAAGTTTGTGGTAAGACTTCAGGGATACGGAGCATAACATTAGTCCTAATGGTTCCCAGGCATCTGAATGATGGGTGGAAGGAGGGCTGGGGCTTATAAAGGCAAAGTTCTGGAGTTCCCACTTGACTTCTGGCAGCACAGGGCTCTAGAAGGGTCTTAAGCACAGAGGCATGCTAGCCTCTTCTTAATTGTGGCCTACAGTGATGGGTCATCTTACAAGTGCATGACTTAAGAAGGCTTGAAAATTTTACAATTTATTTTTCACAATGTATTTTTTAAAACTGGGTTGGAATAATAAATATAAACTAAACCTAGCCCTTGAAATCTTTTATCTGAATGATTATAATACCAATCACACACACTTGAATTAAACATTTACTTAAAGATATACAAAATATCTGAAGATTCATTTCATAGCATCAGAATGAGACTGCTGCTGAAAATGGACTTTCCATGTGAATCAGGAGAGAGGTGAAGAGTCACTATTTATAAACAGTTCTAGGAAGAGAGTACTCAGACAAAATTCCTATGGGCTCCAGGGAAGACGTAAAAGTACTCAACAGAGAGCTTCAACGAAGGACACATTTTTGGGTTTTGAGGAAAAACTGCTATATATTCAGAAAGTAGACATTTATTGTAGTGATGCACTTTTGCAGAACCACCCTTCAAACTACTTGGCTCACTCGGGAACCTCCGGTGGACTGGTCAGACGAAGCTCTGGGAAGGGAGAGCCTGAGGTCAGTGTGATTTTGACACCGCGCATATTTCAGTGCATATTTCTCATTTTAAGGAAGAAAGCTGTGTATTTCACTCAGTTTTTGCTTTGTTCTTTACAAGTGTTGCAATGAATTCCCTTATAGGTGCTCTGAGTACATGTGTCTCTAGGGACAGGTGGAATTGCCACTTTTTGAAGAGTTGATTCACCTTTAATAGATGTGGTAGGCATACACTCTGTTTACCAGTCCATTCCATCTTCTGTTTGCAGCACCCAAATTTTCCTTGGGGAACCAATCCTTTACCAACTTCCAGATGAGCCTGATCTTATCTAACTCCAGGGTATACAGCACATGAGCCAGGCCCAACCTCTCAGAAGTGCATGCCTCAGGTTCAAAGATGCACAGACAGCCTGCGTTTTGTTACACCCACTGTGAAAGGGGTGTTTTTTTCATAGGGGTGAAGCCAAAACATGAACCACCTAGACTTTGTGGTGACCACTTGTCACTTCATGCAGGAAGTCTGATTAAAACCAAAGGAGAAGCAGAACCGAGATAGACGTTAACTAGACCCAATATACCTTCTCAATGAGCATTTGCCAAAATTCCCTGACAAATAACTGGAATTTGTTTAACAGACTGTTCACCTGGCCTCTTCCCTAATAGTTCTTATTCCTAGGTCTAGTTTGGAACCCAGTGGTCTGTCTCATTACAAAGCAAACCAGGTTATGCCTAACAAATTAAATTTGGGAAGCACTATCTAGGATGATGAGAAAGACAATCAACACTCCTTTTGACTTAAAATAATTTGAGGTTTTCTGTCCCTTGCAACTAAATCTTTATTAATATAGCAAGGGTCAGGTCTCCACACAACTGGAACTTGTCCAGAATTATCACATTTACCAATTTTTCATGGTTCTAAAGACATTAAAGCCTTTTAACTTTAAGGTATAGCTTAAAACATGCTAAAATGAAATTTTAATAAGTTAATGACTAGCCATAAATATCCATAAATAAACATTAATATTCTGAATTAATCTTTTACACTCATATGACTACATATCCCTATACTCCTTAATGTGGTGACAACCTTTAGCAACTTTTATCATCTAAATATTTGTCTTAGGCATTCTTCTGAAAGGTCAGTCTCCTGTGTTTCTTTTCTTCTAATGCTTGGAAATTGAACAGGTTAAGGAACCTGGCTACCAGCCCAGAACAATGTTAACAACAGTTATTAGCTCTAAGAACTAAGTGGAAAATAAAATGGTTTTCATTCATAATGTGTTAATTAGACTAAATCCAAAAGGTATTTATATAATGAGACCAGGTACAATAATGGTAAGACAACTTTACTGAACTGCATTAGTTTAAATTACAGTTCCAAGGACTTGTGTATCATCATTAATGCTTAAATTCATCACATGTGAAAGCTATGTTTAAAGATGTTCTCATGAAATACAGAATTCATTAATTTCAAGCCTGCTGTTTGCAAAAGTTCCTAAAAATGCCTATAAATCTATAGATGTAAACAATGACAATGCCTAACTTCACAATAGCACAGACTTCTCAGTCTGCATATCCTTACAAGCGATGGACACCCATTCTCATATTACAATTACTGCAGGTGGCAGCATTTCTTAACAGAATTTTACTCTGACATTAAAAGTAACACTAACTTAGCTTTTGTAAATGGAATTGTATCCTTTTTGTGTGTACTCTTCAGCAGTTTTAAAAAAAATAAGTGGAAAGAAAATGCACATACCTTCAGTAAAAACAAAAACTACACTGTTATTCAAATAAGGTAGCAATCACTTCAATTTTTATTTTATAACAAATAGAATGGTGTCCCACTTGCAAAACAAAATAAATAGTAATGTTAATATAAATCTTCACTACTAGCTTCTTTTGTTAAAGGGTCTTAAAATGTTTCTTTGGACAGAAATTTAAAACTTTTCGACTATCTTTTTTTATCCCCATACCATCTAACTCCCAAAAAGAAATAAAAATAAGTACTTTTTTTTCTATATCTTGTTGTATGTTACTTAATGGTAGCTTTTATCTTTAAAATATGAGATATCAGATACCAAAATAAAATGTAGTAAGCATCCTACTTTACGCCTATTCTCTCCCCTAAATTCAAAATGGATATTTCAAAAATAAAGTTAATACAGGTTTTACAAGCAGGACTTGCTCATTCCTGAAAGTACTTTCAAGTAAATCCCCACTTTTCAAATACTTTCAGAAAGTCTGTTTATAATACAAAGTACCTTATCCACATATCTTTTCAAAATAAACAAAAACAGTCCTCACAACATATTTACAAGAAGCAAATAAGATAAATTATAAAATCTTAATTTTTACCTATAAAATATGAAAACCAGTTAAAAGAAATATTAAAAAGTCTAGATCTCCTAATTCCTTTCCCAAGTTTCATCTAGAAATAGTTTTTTAAAAAATAAAAGCTTAAAAAAATCCCAAAGTTATAATTTCAAAAAGAAAAAACAGCTACATCTTGTCATCTTCTGTAGGTTAGAGGTAGTAAAGGCGATTTGACAGTGACAGATTTGGTTCTCTGTGAATACTCTGGCCAACAAGGAAAGCCAGTTTGTGGGCATACTGGCAAGGAGCAGGAACACGAATGACACCCTTTAGTGGAAGGAAAAAAAATGGTTCTATTACTCTAGATTTAGTTTCTCTAAATTATAAATCTCAGTATTAACTACAAAAGCCTTTTAAACCACAGCAATTTCATTTTGGAAAGTGAATCTCATTGATGTGAAAAAACATGAATAGATAAAAATACTTACTGGCCAGTTATAATAGACATGACACAGTTTGTAAGTTAACCGTTGTATGTGGTCTGGCTTCAGGCCACTGCTGTCATAGATAACATTATAATGTGTGGGGGAAACGCTACCACTTCTCACAGCCTGGCTCACAATAAAAAAATCATACCTGGAATTACAGAAAACATATAAGACATAAGGCTTATGTTTTTGAAAGCTAAAATTAAGATGATTCAAGTTTCTTACAGTGAAAAGAACTTGTACACTACTGTAACCTAATCTCTTGATTTGACATTCATTCGGGACCACTTATGTGCGAAAGATGTTAAGACAGGATTACTTAGAATTAAAAATGTTTGTTATGATGCCCCACAGCAAAACCAAACATTTAATATGGCTACAAATTACTATGGCATACACCACTAGTTCTTATTTTCCACTTACACACCTGAAGATTGTGACTGACCCATCACAGATGCTCAAAATAGCAACCATGGGGGAAATGAATGAGTCTAGTTTCAGGGACTGTTATTCTTCAAATATGCTTTTACGATAGAATCTGTTCCCCTCCTACTGTCTCCATTGTTATTTAATAAAAATATAATTAACTAATTTTAATGATTAAGGATATGAAGCAAATCTTTAAGACAAAGAGAACATTAAAGAATATAAACAGAAGTAAGTATAGGACCCAAACGGAAAAACAAAAACCAAGTAATACAAATTTGAAGAAATATAACATCAGATTTTTTCATTTTCTTGGTACCAATAAAACATCAATCCAGAAGTACTGTAATTTGGTTTGATAAAATATAGGAAATTAACTGCAATTTAATATGTTCATCGAAACAAGAGAAATTAGAAAATCAGAATTGATCTACAACAAACTCTACAGTTTTGGGGGGGTTTTTTTTTGAGGAGGAATGAGGGGTTCATAAATGATAGATGACTTGCCCAAAAAGAACAAAAATCACAACAGAGCTATGATCAAAACCTTAGTTTGTAATTTAAGCACACATCATTCAAAGTACCGGTAATTAAAAGCGATTCTGGTATTCATTAAAAGTGTACTTCAACCAAGCGTTTGAACAGCATCAGCAGCTGTTAAGTTTTAAATGGCATCTAGTAAAAAGCAATGAAATTTTTCAGACTTCATAATTCAACTTGGATTTTACCCAATTCGTTTAAAGCACTTATTGCCTTCAGGTCAATGTTACAATCTGGGTTTTGGTATTCAGAGCAACAGTAATGTCAGAAAGCATTAGGGGTCATTCTGAATGGTTAAAGAGAACCCTGCAGGAAATGAATTTGCTATTTTAATATCTTAGCCAAATTTTGTCTTTCTAGCTTATTCTTCCCCAATAAGTTAGAATCCTTCTGAACTAATGCCATAACATCTGCCTGAAAAAAAGACAGAAATCCAAGATAATGCATTTCAAAATAAAAACCTCAAGATAACAAAGGTGACTAGACAGAATGAAAATCTGTATTCTATTATCATTTGTCCATATAAAGTTAGTACAGTAATGCCTCATTTACCCAACGTTCATACAGGAAAGTGTTCCACATATAAACTCTGCACTTAGGCCAACACTTTACCCTGATTAAAGTTGCTTTCTTCAAAAGAGCTCTAAAACACTTATACATAAAAACAGAAATTGTCCTAACTATCCACTCTCAAGAGGAGGGTGAGAATGAGGCTGATAAATTATACATCTCCCCTGACAAAAGGGTTTTTGAGGAACTCACTAAAAATGAACCAAGTTTCATGACTTTACCATTGAACACCTGTGTGCAACTAAGGCCTTGTGCCCATTGTTACTTCCCTGTAAATTCTAGCTGGCTTTCTTGTCTTAGGAAAATGAGCTACAGAGTATAGCTCCAGGTTACATACAAAAGCTTTGCTTACTCAGAAACCACTTTTCTCATCTGCAGCTGTGTCTCAGATGAACTTTTTTACCTTTCAATAACTAAGTGCATTACAGATCTAAATATTTTCATTAGAAAGCAACAATCTGTGGATGAAGTTATTAAAAGCAGTCTACAGAAGTAGTTCTTAAACCTCTGTATGTGTAATTATTGCCAAAGAAAATAACCTTCTAAAAAAAAAAAAAGAAAGTAAACTTCTCCCAAAGAAAAACTGCACAGAGAACTTTGTTCAGTTTCTGATACTAAGAAGTTATGTATGGGCTTTAGTAATAATGTTAGATCAAATTGGTTGAAGAATTTAAATTCAGTATTTATAAGAAATATGGCATAAGAACTTAAAAAATAAACATGTTAAAGTTGAAAAGTATAAAGGCCATGTTCAAAACAAAACAAAAAACCCCAGAAAACCATCTTCATCTAATCATACAGAACTTACCATTCTGGTCTGGTAACCTCTACATCAATAACTGTTCCAGGAAGTGGGTTCTGAAGTCTTCCTCCAGAATGAGCAAAAAATCTGGCGTTCACTCTTTTCTTCACCACAATTACCGTTAGTCTTGGGCTTAAAAATGATGATGCATGTAACTACATTTAGTCAGTCATATTTTTAGGGCACTCATTTATTCAGACAGTCATATACTTAATTTAAAAAGGAATACATCTCTCTTGGGGCATATCATCTGTCCAAATTGTGGAGGAAGAATCAGAATCTTCCTCTTGACAGAAAGAAGGACCAGGTATAAATTGTGTGTAAAAAAAAAACAAATGGTATATATGAGGGTACTTCAAAAAGTTCACGGAAATATTCCCATTATCTTTTAATTCTATTTTTCACAAACATTATAAAGTGGTTTTATATATATCTTGTGATGCAAAAGACCAAATACATTACATATCTAACACACCAACATAAAATCCAGCATGTCCTCAAAATTCACAATTTAAAATTCTTCAGTGGGCATTTTCTACTATGTGAAAAATATAATATTAACTCTAAAATCTTTGATTAGCTAATTTAAGTAGTCTCAAAGTCTAAACCACTGCTTTTCAAAATTACTGGTTCACAACATATCAGGGAATACATACATAATGTGAATACACATCTTCAGGAGGAATAACTTGATTTTTGTGATATTTCATTGGACTCTCAAAGAACATTTTTTGCAAACCCCTGGAACAGCTCAACCACTCTCAACCTATAATACAATGGACACACAAACAACTCACTAGGAGGCTCCCTCTATCCACTTACTCCCCAGCTTGATTCCTCAGCTGGCTCTCCCACATCAAGGTCAGCCAGACTGCTCAGCATGGACACGGTCCTGTGGACCTTTAGCTCTACATCATGTCAGACCCTGTCCCTCCACTTGCCTTCTGACTTTCTGGGGACAAACCTTCTAACTGGCAGTGTGTTGTATCCTAGATATTTCCCACACCCTTTGCTGCCCAACTCTTGGAAACAGTCACATTTGTACACACATAGCCTATTTAGGAATCAATGAATTGGAATGTGTAAAGCACTTAGAGGTGCTGGCATATGGTAAGTGCTTGGCAAATATCTTGACTATTAGTGCCTCAATTTTTCCAAATAGAACATTAGTTCCTTAAAAGCACAGATGCACTTGATTCCAAACATTGAGGAGCCAGAGGGTTTTACAAAGAATATGGACCTAGTAATCTTTGCCTCAGTATTTCTGCTGTTTTTCAGTGAAAATTAAGTAGGGTAGATAGTTTCCAGCATACTGGACAAATGGTCAAAAAAGGCCCCAAATTGGGAACTTCTGTTCAATGATAAACCTAACGGAGCTCTTTCATGATAGTACTAACCAAATATAGAGAGGACAGGAAAGTGATTTTACTTAAATAAACAGAACATTTTTAGAAATATCACTATCTACTCACGTACAGCTACTACCAGCTAAAAACAGCTCTGGACATAACAAAGCCATAGCAGATGTGCTGAAAAGGCTTAGAGGCCTCAGTTTCAAATGCCTTTGCCACTTATAGAGATTAAGTTCGGAGCAGGGTCTATGGTTATATAACTTGTTGGAAAGGGATTACTACTTAGGGCTTGATAGCGTCCAAAATAAGCATCAGTCTCAGGAACAAAAAGATAAAACATGGATAGTTTTAATCTTGTAACATCACAGGAAACAATTTAGCAAATGTGGTAATGGAAAGACAAGTCAGAAATGTGCTGAAGTAATTTTTTGATTTGTTCTTATATCAAACTTTGTAAATCAGCTAATCTGTGATGCATCTCAACATCTCAATTAAAAAGCAAATATTATAGTTCTAAGGATAACTACAAGTACTTAATAAGTCCAAACTTTGCATTTCTTAAAAGTGAGGAATAATCCTCAGATATTACTTTAGTTTTATACACAACTTGAAGCTTTTTTCTGGAAGAACTGCCTACCATTATTGAGTGCTTACTGGATACTGTATGAGGTGCATTACTTATATTCTCATTTATTCCTTTCAACAACCTTGGTGAGCTGTTTCCCCTGTTCCACAAATGAAGGCAAAGCTAGGATTGACCCAAATGATCTTAAGACATATTGCTCTTGACCACTAATCTCTACTGACACCCAATAACAGTGCAATTTGCAATGTAAAATCTACTTCATGCAATAGTTTGTTAGGTGTTAGTCCAAGAAATCAATTTAAGTTCTCCTTCCCTGCAACAGAGTGCTATTAGCTAAAGAGGCCCTGGGCAAGTAAACCCCACCAGCCAAACCCCTTGAAGACCCCTGTTTAGAGAACAGACTCAGCACTGCATGCTGAGGATGACTCTGTTCACAGACACTCAGTCACTAGGGCTGGAAGTGCCTCTTCAAGAGCCATTTCTGCCAATCCTTCTGGTAACCAAACCCAAAGGACTCAAAGAATTGGGCCCCAATAAGGCTAATAGTGTGTACTCCCAGTAGCCGAATATTCGGCTCATGGGAATAAGATGAACTTGCACTATATTACTTCTACTTTTCACTTCTTAAAAATTTCCGTTACTTTAGGTAAGAAAAAAAGGCAATGAAGACTAGAAAATGTTGAGTGGTAAAGTAGTAAATGACAGAAAAAAAGACTAAGAAAGAAACAACCCACTTCAGACCTTCCTCTCCTCCCCACATGGACAGAAAATCTAAATCAGAGAAAAATATAAAATAAGGCTTGTACAACTTTGAAAACCAAGATTTAAAAGAAAAGCATTATTTAAGTGAGAAAATATAAGCATAAGAGGTAAGGGGATAGGAAAGAATATTAAACTTCATTTCTATAATATTAAAAATGTTTAGCCTTTTAATATGAAACACAATTATTACAAAAATGAAAAACAACCCTGATTTGCTCTGAGAACATAATGGCATAATATTTCATTTTTAAAAATGTCTAGGGATCAACACTGACTGGAGGGAGTCTTTTAGAATTTGGTTAAAGATGACTTGGAAGGATCTTCTCATTGGTTAGCTAGAAATAAGATGTTTATCCCATGAGCCACGTAAAATCAAACCAAGCCCCAGGTATTGTCAATGGCTTTCAAAACCCCTCATTTCTATAATGATACCAAATGCTACCTGGGAAAGCTGGCAAAAATAATCGGTGTTTCAACATGCATGTGAAAGCACACACAAACAAACCTCGCAAATTTTCTAAGTATCATTAAAAATCAAAGCTGCAAATCTTTAATATATTATGCACTAAGCCCTTAATACAATCTGATCTTGAATTGCTCACAGTCTGATAAAGAGAAACAGAAAAAGCTAAACAGTGTAACATATTAGAACAGCTATCTTGAGGTATTCAGTTTGCTTCCAAATGGTAAGGACAGTAATGTCTGAAGGAGAGCAGACGAAGGCAAAAACCAATAGGGTTTCAAAGAAGAACAAGTGCAGCATTCAGATATAGACAGCACTATCTTGGATGTCCACATCATCTACAGAAAGGAAGTAAAACCATTTCCTCCTATGAGACTAAACCCTTGCCAATCACCTTATTGACTGAGTACTAGTCAAGTTCACAATGAAGTTAAATAATTATTCACTGTACAATGAGGCTGGAAAAGAGTAAGTTAAGACTATTTGGAATATTGACTCCAATTCTATGAGTGCCTATAGATGTAGCAGAATAATCAGATACTTGCACTTCAAGGCTTTAGGTGAGAAAAAAGGTGGGCACATGATTGTTACTGGTGTCTCTACCCTCCCATTCAACCCAGTATTTCCCCCACAAAAAATCCCCAAGGGAAACTTTTCCCCTCCCCATTACATTACAACAAGCACTACTGAACCTATCAAGTTAGGTTCTCACTCACCTTTTCATCTTGTGACACTAATTTCAAAGACAGAAACAAAGACAGAAAGGTGTAACTTTACAAAGGGATAATGCTTTACAATTTGCATGCTTACTTGTAACCTCTACCAACAGATTTTAGGCAATCCAAAAACTGTGGTACTTCATAGTTAACCAATGTTTTAAGTTGACCATCTCCTACACCATCCCGATACACAATAATTCGACTAGGCATGTATTCATTGCAGCTGTTCCAAGCCCTCAGAGCAGCTGAAAGAAAGCCAGAAAAGTGTGAACTGAATTAATATTTAGAATAGAAATGGTGTTTCTCCCAAATTCTGGCTTATTTTTCAATAACACAGCTCTTAAGATAATTACTTGAAGACCCTTATTTAGAGAACAGATGAAAACGCCATGAGAGACTAACCTTGCAAGCAGACTTTGAGCCCATCGACCAGCTCTTGTCCTCTGTCTTGAAATACACAGCGCGAGAACCAGCTATTCAGAGAAAAAACATGACTAAGGTGAGAATGCAACCGTCCACAAATTCTTCCTTTCTGAATTATTCTATATTTTGTGCTTAACAATTCATCATCTCTGTAATTTCCTTTAAAGATATCTGCTAACATCTCCAAATATTTGATGAAACCTTAAATAAACAGAAGTAGCAAGATATAGTAAACCCCATATATACATCATAAACTAAGTTTTCTTTTATTGTAAATCAAGACATAATTCATCTACAGGAAAAAAATAAAATTAAAGCAATACCTAGAGGTATTGTCTAGGTTTACACCAAAATACACACAGCAACACACTCTTCTATGCTATGGTCCTGACAAACCATTCGTTATAGGCTTCACTCTTCTAAAAGATAAGACCTTGAAACATACCCATAAAGTAATGCTAACAACTAATATCCCTTCAATTTTCATTGTTTCCTATTCATGGCAATTCCCAAGAAATACATTAAAAAATAATTTTACTATGTTGAAATACAAGTGATGGGGTAAACTGAAGTGGTTTTCTACATGAAAACTTGAAATTACATTTCAGTAGCCAATAAAAATTGTTAAAGAAGTTTTCAGAGATAGTCACATTTAATGAGATGCACCACCCCCCAACATAAACCATAAAAAAAAAGAAAAAAAACCCTGAAATGCACTTTACTATAGAATGAAGGCCAGTGAGAAGGCAGGATAGGTAATAACTGTTTTTTCTTTCCTAAGTTTTTTGACTGGGTATACTATAAGAGAGAAATCAACAGGATAAAAATAATTAACACAACTCCTGTACCTCTCTCAGTCCCCAAGACATCAGCCCCAGATCTACATCCTCTCTTGCCTTTATCTAATCGTCACACAGCTATCCGATTTCTCACTCACCGGGTCATCCCTTCATTGATGCTCGCAACAAATCCTGCAATTGACCTCCGTCCAGCTGCAGTATCATGGTAACAATCAATACCAACGATCATCGCTAACTTCAACTTTAATAAAAATATTATAATTTTAGATATGACAGAATACTAGAAACATCTAAGTAGTAAATCAATTTTTCTTAAATATCCATTTAACAATTTTATCTACCAATTACATCAGACTTACAGGCATGTCAACCCTCCAAAGCTCTCCACCCATCTTGCAATTCATCTGTAGGGCAATCTTCGTAGCAATGGCCATGACTGTTTGTTGTTTGCCTAAGGTCCGAGCTACCACACACTGACTTGGGGTAGGGCAATCTGTACATAAGTATTTTTTAATAGCGTCATATTTGTCCTTCCGGTTACTTGACAACAGACAAACAACCTGAAAACAAACAAAATACTCTTATTACAAAGAAATTAGGAATCTGAGGATTGAGGGAGAGGACAGGAAACCAAACTCACCTGTGGGGTATAAATATCAAAAAATCATTTATTTTACTATTCATTTCTGCCATATAGCTAATCAATGCAACATTAATAACTTTTAGATACTGCTCCTTATATATTCGACTAAATGATAGATGCTCATAAAGGAAAGAAACCATGTTAAGCAAACGTAACTCAAAACTAAATGAATACTGTTCAAACTTGAAAACCTTGTTAAATATGCTCTACAATCAGCTTGGAATAATTTAGAGATAAGGAACGGGGACACACAAGTTACTGATAACTTACAGGGGGATAAATAAAAAATTTTCTAATATGTTCAGTTTTAATTTACTAATAATTCCCCTAGGATCATAGCGCTTAAACTTTTAAAGCTCAGGCTTGAGAATCTGATAAAACTATGAACTTTTCTAGGAAGTCCATGGACAATTTGGGGGAACATTCTGGAATGCGTGATCCAAATAGAACCCTGTCCAAATTCTGGGAATCCAAGTTTAAGTTGGTTCTTGAACTCACTCCTGTATTCTCCCAAAGTAGATTCCCAGCTTACCATCTTTTCTACTGTGCTCCTCCCAGTCATTTTCCCACCTTGGGTATATACTTTATTCCAGACAACAATAATAGTTACCTGCCTGTGGCATCTAAGCATGAGATGAAGGACTAAGGAAAGGAACAAATTACATGAATCCAATTAATTTCTTAGGTTTAAAGCAACATAGATATGATGTTTACCATTCAATTTGTCTTTGCCACCTCATTATCATGGGGCCTCCCAGGAGCTAAAGGTGAAAACTCAAAGGTGCGAGAGAAATTCCTTCTAATACTCAACTTCCCACAACTTGTTGCTATCTTCAGAATGTTTCTATATGAAATAGAAATATACTTTCAACTAGTTTTTAAAAGCAGCCAAAGATATAAACTCCTAATAATCAGTGAAATAGCTGAACTGATTATTAGTTACATGCAGATCAAGTCATTCTTCCCATCCTACTTTCTGAATAATTACAGGTAAGTTTTCCCTTTCCACTGAAGTTTTAATCTCATATTGTCATTCTATTGTTTGCTACATGTTCTCCCCAGCAGATCTGTGGGAAACATGCTACACCATAAAAAGCAATAGGAACTTATTGAGCCACTATGTGTTGGCAACTAGTTTCAGGTTACAAAACTGACAAAAGTAATGATAAAAATAATCAACTGACTAAATCTCTTCTGGAAGCCCAACTCTGGTAAGAATAAGATGTCTGAAGTACCTGTCTTGGAAATTTTTTAGATAGGGTTCTAACAAATGAATGGAATACTCAAACTGGGTAATTTGAGGAGATTTTAATAAAAGGACAATTTGCAAAGTATAAACAGTGCAGAAGTCCCCCTCTACCACACCCGGGGCAAGCAAAAGCAAGAACCACTAAGGTAACAGGGTAGGGAGTGGTCACGGGAACCTGGGGAGGACAGGGTATGGAGAAAGCTCTTCAGGAGCCGTGGCCTACATTTCAGCCACCAGCTGAGGTCCTGCCTCCTTTCAGTAAATTTCCCAGCTTTACTGTCCTTACATTTTCTTTTACTATGGAACAAGAAGTCTTGAGGCCAAAACTTAAAATTCTTGAGTAAAGACAATGCAAAGGAGATTCTATACTGAATATGTTAAGATTTGGACAACTCCTACATTCCCTGCTACTGAGTTTAGGACTCCATTTTGCTACATTATACTAGGTATGTGGACTTACAAAGAAAGCTAAGGCACTATCTCTCATGATTATGAAAGCCCCCTGCATTTCACATGGTATTCTAGAGTGGCTAAATTTCTAAGAATATAAAACTGGACAAGTAGTGAAGCCAGGAAGTACCTGCCAGACTGAAAAACTTCTAGTTTGAGAAGAGTGGGATGATGTTCTTTTTAATGGTAATTCAAGAAATTTATCGAAACTGGGAGAAAACAAAGAGTTAACTTATAGACTGAATTTGAGAAGTCGACTGGCATCAGCAGCAGCAACAGTGAGTAACATCTGTTGAGCTAGTAGTAGCTCAACATCTGTTGAGTAGTAGTAATGTGCCAGGCTTGGCAATATCACTTAATATCACTTCAGAAGCACCTATGAGACCAAACTATTACTGTTATTATTACAACCCTATTTTTTTTCAGATAATAATACCAGAAGCACTTGCCTAAGATCATACCAATGGCTGAGCCAGGTTGTGAACCCAGGGACTTGACTTCAGAGTTTATACTCTTAATGACTATGCTACACATTAAAACAAAAATGAACAAACAGAAAAACCCAAACCTGGTCCCAAAGACCTAAAATTTTCAGATTACAGATAAAAATCATCCATGATAACTAGCTGCCATCATCTAATTTCCCCTTCTCCAATTCCCAATCCTCTGTATCCCACAAGCATATACTATGCAACGAGACTCCACAAATATGAACATGGACTCTCTGGAATTGTGTTTGCAACATTTTCCCCAAGTCACTCACCTGGGTGGATAGGTACAACACACACAACAGCACATTAAAAAAAATACGACAAGCATACAGAAAGGACATTGTTGGGAGGGAGGGGGAAGAGGTAGGAGGGAGGGAGGTTTTGGTAATTGGCCACAATAACAAACCACATTGTATATTGACAAAATAAAATAAAATAAAATATAAATAAATGAATAAAAATTTTTAAAAAGACAAAAGGTGAAATAGCTTAGGAGAGTGATCCCATCTATATGTTCAAACTCTCCAGGTGATTAGGATGCACATTCAAGTTGACAAATTCTAGTTTTTATGGCCTGCTCACTGAGACTCCTGCTCTTCCACAAATCTTACACCATACTGTCTAGGAAGTTTCCATTTAATTGTACTTCCATGTGTGCTGACAACTAAGAGCTCATTTTTACTTTTGTACTTTGTTTTTCCCAAGTTTTCTAGAGTAAATAAAGCTCTTGAGTCAGAATAAATTAAAGACAAACTTACTAGCACCACCAGAGGGGTGCAAATGCATGCCCCTCCCTCCCCAGACCTTGGCACGGCCAGCCGTCCTTTCTTGCTAGTTTAATGGCTGCGTAATGGGACTCACAAGGTGCTGGAATATGCTGTGCATGCATCCGAGTGGTGATGGATTGTGTGTATTTCCCAGCGGATGGGATCATTACGTATGGGGACTGGTTCCCCCATGCTGAGGCAGTGAGCACTGACGTATGCTGTCTGTCCCCTGCATTCCCCATTATGACACCTTCCCCAGGTATTTGCTATATTACAATTTGTGGTGCCAAAGGTTTTTCTTGCAGTATATTCCAGGCTAATTTTAGAAATTTGTTTTCACCTTCCGACATTGATTCTCGGGGCAGCTTGCAAAGCTGCCTGGAACGAAAAATCAATGGTGACAGCATCGGAGTGGGCTCCAGTTCTTCATTAACCCAGAGCTCTGAGCAGCCCCAGCCCTATCTCCTACCTCAAGGCTAGCCCTGGGCAAAGATGGGCATTCAGGAAGTTTTCCTTTAGTGCCCTCAGCCTTTCTGTTCTGTGCCCTTCCATCCTCCCTGCTCTCCCCTTCTCCTTCTCGAAAATTTACCCTCCACCAAGCATGGAGATGGGTAGGGGGAAAAGAAGCAGATCAAGATCCACATATGCCAGACACTGGGCTAGGCAGTTTGCTTGCATGATCCCATTAAAGTCTATCAGTAATTCTCAGAGGTTGGTATCACCCCCATTACACAGAAGAGGAAACTGAGGCACAAAGATATCAAGAAACAAGCCCAGTGTCGCAGAGCTACTAAGATGGAACTGGGATCAGAACCTCTCTAATCCAAAGCTGTGTTCTCCCCACTGCACGCCATTGCACGTGTAACCAGCACCATGCAGAAATCTAAGAGCGGGTGTTGGGAGGAACAGCATCCCCCAGGGACATAGAGAGCATACTTTGCCTGCACCCAGCCACCCCTGCTCAGCCGAGGGCTCTGCTGAGTTCTACACACAGGGACTGGCCCTAATGAAGTCTCCGGGGACATCAGGCTGTGCTCCTGAGACTCAGCTGGCAACCTAAGACAGAGGTCACACCCTGGTTTACAAAAACAAAAGGGGGAGATGTTGGGCTACGCCCGGGCCGGCAGCCATTTTGGGAAAGTACCTCAGCCATTTTAAACTTGCTTCGGGCTGATTCTGGGAAACCGAAACCTCTGCACTTTTTTCCCACCTGCCCTGTCCTCACCCCTCCTCCCGGGTAGCAGTGTGTCAACTCCCTATTGGATAAGAGCTCCCCCGCCCCTGGTAGTTTCCATCCCTTCCTCATTTTTTGGAGAGCACAATTACAAGCTCCTAGTCACACAACTAAAGCTAGCATTAGTTTAGCTACCTTATAGAGGAAAATATATATATTTGTGTGACTGTTATAGTTAGGTCTGGGAACCTAACTATAACATTGGAATAACGAACTCAAAGTTTTACAGTTTACAAGTGCCCCTTTTAAAACAACTCATTCACTGAAAACTATGTATCAATTAGCTACTTACTATCTGGGTATCTGATGTAACTTTTCGCTGTAAGACTCTTAAATAGGCTTCAGTTCTATCATCCACTTCAATCCTAGAATAAAACGTATATAATCCAACATTCAGAAAAAGTAACAAAAATGTACCATGCATAAAAAAAAGTCCTATAGATTATAACACATAAAACATCTCTGTATAAAATATGAAATAAAACATCAAGAATACCATTGAAGCAAAACGCTGTTTCTAACAAAAACACCACTAATACTTTAAAGCACATATATTTGAAAACTAGTCTTACTTGATCTTTTTTCCCACCCATTCTTAGTTAAAATATATTTATCTGCATTACAGGGTGCCATATAAAATCTTTAAGATAATCTTGTTACTGTTTTTAACAGTTCCATCACTTTTGAGTTCCCACACCCTCCAAAAGATTACTAGTCAATTTTCAGAGTAGAAATGACTTGATAAACTTACATTACTGCTTTTTTCATTTGTATGCCCATGGCTGGTGTAACTTTAAATAGATTTTGAATCAATGAATTGGCTGCTTCATAATTTCTTCGAGTATAGATCAACAGCCAGTTATCTAGTGGCTTAACACTAATTAATGGTGCACCTCTTGTTTCTTTTGACCAATCTGCAAATTGTGGGTTGTAATCAAACTAGAAGAAAGTTCAGAGACACTGTAAATTCCATTGTAAGTTCTCAGTGATAAAGCCAAAAAGTCCTCAATAATTCTACCATGTCATATTTTGAAACTTACAGTACTACTTTTAAATTTTAATTAGAATGACAGATAAAATGCCCAGAGTGGGGAAAAAAGATACAAAAATGTATCTAAAGGATGATAGCAATTTTATTTAAAATATGTTGACAGCTACCACTCAAGTACTTACTTGTACCAAGTACTCTCCTGAGTGCTTTTTTAGTTGTATTCTCCTTAACCTTTTGTACAATTGTACAGGGAAAGATTTTATTTTCTTCATGATATAGATATTAAAAAATAAGACTCTGGAAGTTAAGCAATTTGATTGAGATGTCAGACACTGAATGAAAGCAAAGTGCAAAAACATCTGATAGCAAGGCAGAAAGTGAACACAAACTCAAAGCACAGCAACCTTCTGATAGTCATCATAAAGGAAAAAAATCAAGTGTTGTTTACATGTCCTACCCACCTCCCCAGCTATCCTTACACAAGGATATATATTTTTATTATTTCTACAGGAGATAATACAAACAGCTACAATTAAAATAAAGTTACATTGTTAGATCGTTATTCATAGAACATTTAGGAAGCAAGAAGGGCACAGTTTTCTATAAAAAGATTTTTAAATTTTTGACATGCAGTGCTTCACTTACATAAAAAGTATTTTTAGAATACTGGCTTTTCCTTTTCTGAAGACGAAATATAAGACATCACAATAGTTAATATGTATTCTTACAAACAAATGCTTGAGGCAAAAATGAAGCCAATTAAATCAGGAGTTTTTTCATGTAAAAGATTACCTTAGTGGCAGACAAAAATATTAACCTGATCATATAGTTAAAATTCTTCTACACCTTAAGTAACACAGGTTATTAAAAAAATATTAAACCACCTTTTAGCTAAGTCTTACAGATTATTTTGAGGACCAAGCTACAGACTCTAATCTTCCATATTTCTCCTCCTGGAGTGCACCCATTTCTGAAGTCCTGTGTTGCTCATGAGTTGATAGAGAGTGGAAGTAGATGGTGAGAAGAGAAAAATGAAGAAAGAACCATTCTGATATGTAACTAGGTTATTCCTACTTGCTTTATCATGATCCAACCCAAATCTCACTTGACTGACAACTTTAAAAACCGCCTTACTGTTTTTCCACCTTGGTGAATCTTTTCTGCTTGCAAAATTCTTCCTGAGAAGGACAGTAAGTTGGAGTCAAAGCTCAAACCCCAGTCTCGAAGCTCCCTTTGAACATTGTCATCTCTGAAAATTTAACGTATTTACATGCCACTAAACTTCAGGAAACACAGCAAAAACAAATAGACATATGCAAATAGGGATCTACTCCAACCTATGATAAATTTCAATGTTTCTTTCAGGATTGAGATCCTAAGTGAGAATGCTAGGAAACACAGAGAAATATTTTTCTCTCATCACATCTGTGATTCTCTTTATGACATCCTTTAATTTAAAATTCTGATGCCCAAACTATTTCCCCCTCAAAGTAAACCCCTTGATATAACAAAGACAGAAAACAGATTTTTCCCAAAACATTTCATTTTTCTATTCTGCCACCTTTTTCTAATGAAGAATTAGAAAGGGAATGGGCTACAAAGTTTAACTTTATTATTCCTGAGAAATAAGTGAAATAGCCTCATTTACAAACATGAAGAACCCACCCTAAATACTGCAAATACAAAAGGAGAAAGTTACTTTCTGACACCCGCCCCCAACTACCCCCAAATCCACATAAAATACAAAACAAAAAACTGAAACCAGGCCCCAGTGAAATGTACATAACTTACTTATGAATATAATCAATGAGTCTTCCTACTTCACGCTGCCTTTGTTCTGGAGTGAGTCTTGTATGAACAGCTAAGTCTTTCATCACATTAAAATCATTACGCATTTTATCAGTTAGACCTTTAAACAAAACATTTAAAGGTACATGGTTAAAGAAAAACAATGAAGTCTAAATAATATTTGGTGTGTAATTCCAAGGAGACAAAGCAGCTTCAATAAAAGGGTTTTGGGGGATGGGGGTGGGTAAGGGAACGTTTAACAACTTTAAAAAAAAAATAGGTAAATAATCTAGAGATTTCATCCACATAAACACAACGTGGCAGTACCTGTGAGGTAGCAGAGCTCAGGAATCAGCATTGCAGGGCCGGGCATTATGCCCCCTGGGCCCCTCCTCCTCTTAGGCTGACTCACCAACACCGGCTGTTTCATGTCAGTGATTTCTTGGTTATATTGCTATTCAAGAGAGGAAAAGTATCATTGGTTCATAGCAAATGCCTTCAGTAACATGTCAATGGGCAAAAATGTATAATTTTTGCTTTTGTAATTAAGAATCGATATCAATAGTACGGTCGGTATCAGTTTCCAAAGTTTAAAAAATGCATTTTTTAAATCCTCCTAAAACAGGTTGTGATTTGTATACTCTGAGTACCTCATCTTTTTTCCTAAAAACTTAGATGGTCAAGGACAGTAAGGTTCTGAGTCTCAACATTTAGTCAGAATTCTACTTGCTTCATTTTTTCATTTCTTGGTTTAGAAACAGTAGCCTGTGTTACTGAGTCTTCACCACACCATAATTCCTCTAAAACTACTTATAGTGAGAATTTCTAATGAACAAAGTCTCACTATAAGAATAAACAGGGGAAGAGAAGAGGTTTTCATGTTACAGGACATTTTTAACTAGAAAATGCTTTTATAAAATCTTGATACTTTCAAAAGTCAAATGAAATGGGCTCTCTGGCCTCCAGCTCATCTCTGCAATTTTAGAATCACGACAGACTTCTCTTATGTTCATTAAAGTTTCTGGCTCTGAGTCTTCCAGATCCTCTTTCCTATCATCTTCTGAATCTCCCTGACATCTTTTAACATCTTGCTTAATTCGGATACAGCTTTTTTATTTTAAAAAATCAAGTATCTCCATGGAGCATACAAGAGGAGCATCATCACGGCCATTAGTCTCAGTCTCTCATCAACAGACTAAGAAGTACCTGCCTATTCCTTATTGCTATCAAATGGCAAGATCCTGCTCACCTATTACAACTCTTGTGAATTAAGAAACCACAAACTCTAGCTTGCCCTTGACTTTGTCCTGTATTGAACCAATCATCTAGGGAAAAAGTTCATTTTCTTATTTCAGACAAGAAAATTTCAAGTAGAACACTCATGTCTGATTTCTGCTTCATGTATCTACACTACCTATTTTATCACTCTTCTCTTCATTAGGTTCTGACTGTTAACAGTCACTCTCCTCACACCACATCACTTAATTGGGAACACATGGGACAGAAGAGTGTAGTCATTTCAGAGTGTTCCTGTTTACACTCTGTTCCATCAGAAGCCTCATGTGCACAGTACCTGACACACAACTTGGCAAGTCCGCTCTTTTATTCTTAGGGACCAAACAAAAAGTCTATCAATTCTTTTAACATTTTTCACACATTGAAAAAAAACAGCGCTTTCATTTCTGTATAACATTACTATTAAAACTTTTCTTTTTAAAACCTACTGACCCTGATCTTCCCTTCCAAATTTTTCTAGATACTATCTTCAGTCCCAAATCATCACTTACTACTAAAAATGAATTTCTACTAAGAAGTCCTAAGAATGCCTTGATTCTTTTAAATATCTTAGCCCCACGCCCTTTCAATTACTCATATCCACTAAAGGGACCAGAGTACCCATAGCTGCAAGAGAAGTCTTCCCTATAGAAATCATCTGAGCTGAGATCTGAACATAAGAACAAGATTCAAGTATGCAGAGTGTGTCCAACAGAGGGGACAGCATGAGCTAAAGCTCCATGGGTTGGTAAAAAGGTCAGGGTGGGGGACAAGCCATGAGGATAAAGAAGCAGGCAGGGGCTACATCACACAGGGTCTCATAGAATAAAGACCAACATGTTTAACAAGAGGCAGAAGCAATGGGAAGCCACCTAATTACTTTGGGTAGAAGAAGAGTAACACCAGATTTGTGTAAGTTTGAAAATGAATCAGAGAACAGAAGAAATGAATACTAAGAGACTAGCTGAAAAATGGGGCTTGAACAGAACAGTCACTTACAAAAAGAAAAATGAAGGTATTTCAGACGAGGTAATGTAATAAGTAAGACCTAACAATGAGTTACGGAAGGTAACTGGAGGTCTGAAGTTTGAATTATCCATTATTCATTTGTTCCTTCAAATACCTGAGATTCCTGGCATTGATTAAGAGCATTGAACAAGGGCCAGGTTGGGGGAATATAACATGTATAATACTGGTAATGTGTGAGGGTTATCTTTCAGACAGCCAAATGCTTAAAACAAGGAGGCAGTTGAGCTTAGACATGCCTGGGCTGGAGCTAGAAATCTAGGGATCATTAACATATCACATCTGAAGACCAGGCATAGATGAAACTGGAGATTACCTAGAAGTACATATATAGTAACAGGCCGGAAGTATGCTCACATGTAAAAAGCCACTCAGAGAAGAATAAGCTAGCATGTGACATTCAATACTCATCAGGGATGGGAGATTTTTCCCTGACCTTCCTTCAAGTTTAAATCAAATTTTCAACTGATGTTTTGTTTATATTTGCTGTTGACATATACCAGCCACTCCCATCCCTGATAGTGATTAATAAACCACATAAAAATGCCATTAACTCATTTCTCATAGTAAGGTCTTACACCCAGAAGAATCTAGGTTGGGCATGTCTGAAGTCGTCAAAGAGTAAAGAGGGTGAAAACAGCATAGGAAAATCAAGCTGAGATGACCCCAGGCCTGTATTCATTTTGCCAAGAATAAGATCAGCCCTTAATGCGACTTCTCAGAGAACCCTTTCCCTCCACAGTGGCCTCTGATCTTTTCAGTCGCAGCAGAGCAGGCAAAAAGTAGACATCAGCAAAAAGACATTTTGAAGGCCATTAGTCAGATGTATATTTTCCATGCAAAATATAAATATACAATAACTCATTTATTCAAATTTTTCTAAACAGGAAATATTCTACTGGAAGAAGAAAAAAATTTTAAAAAATAGTACTTCAAAAACCTAGTTTTAAAACTTTAATAGTTTTCGAGAAATAATTTCCCTGTTCTTTTAACAGAGTATTTCAAATTGAATGTGACCTGAGGATTTACGGGCGAGATCTGCTCATCACTGAATACTAAAACAATGTTAGTATGCACTTCTATATAAACATTTTATTTTCTTCTAGTCAGTTGTTCTTCCTTGCTATTTGCCTCTAGTGATCTTCTCAAATTGGTGATCACTGTGCCAAAAGCTAGAATCATCTTTATAAAACCATGTTAGAAGATCACCCAATAAACTGATCTAACCTATATGACTAAACAACCTTGTCTGAATTTTGTCAATATGTAAATCAAAAGTTAAGAATTAACCCACAGGCAGTAGATTTAGCACAAATGATACTGAGGGTTCAAAAACCTTCAATTCCCATCCCCCCTCCACCTGCTCCAGGTGAAAACTGTCGATAGTAGAATGAGAAATAGTACTGTAAGCTCTTCTTTTCCACCTGTTATCCTATTTGTCCTCCACACATGTAAATTCAAATGTAATCTGTCATTCTACTGGAAAAAAGAACCAGGACAGGGCACTTCTCATTATGTGAACTATACCAAACAAAAGGAAGCATTTAAGTAATTTGATGAGTTAAAATTAACTATGCTGTGATTGTCCTAACACATACATCTGCATATAGACTTAAAAGAAATTTGTTCATAATGTGCAACAAGCAGTGGAAAATTCTGCTGAGGATAATTCAGATTTCTACTAAGTTCTAAATTCCTCATATGAAAAAGAGAAAAGCAGTACTAGCATCTTACCTTCCTGTAGTACTCTAAGAAGCTGACTTCAGAGCCATCAGCTTTCTTAAATGTGCTCTTTGGATTCTGCTCCCAGTCAATATCATCCACTCTGTATGTTTTATTGTTATACCTATAGAATGATTGAGATTTGACTGACATTTGATGGAAATGTGTAGAGCTAATATTTAAGAGACAGATATTACATATTCTCTAAAATTTCAAATCACCAGTAATATTCAATGTTAAGAAAAGAGAAAGGGAAAAGAATTACTTAACTACTATGCCAGATGAATGGGGAAAGTGACTTAGTGTTAGAAAATAAAATAATTAAAAAGTATAAAAATCATTAGATACTTATCCTTTCCAGAGGAGTCTGTTCCCCCCAAAACTATGATATTGGGAAAGGTGACAAATATCCTTCCCCCTTTTTTGTGCTTTTCCCACCACTCAACTTTAAACACAATTTTCTTTCTAACATCACAGGACTAGAAAGCCACAATATCTGAAGACTTGCAAAAAGATTATTTTGCATTTTAAAAAGCAGTCTTACTTGGTAAGAACAATTAAACCTGTTAGTTCTTTAGAAACTCGTTCTTGAAATTTATTTTCTTCTGTTTGATGATATAAATTGCGCATGAAATCCAGAACAGTCTCACTTCGAAGGACTTTATGACTGACATCAGTGCAAAGCATGATGTTGTTTTCATACTGAAGAATAGAAGTAGTGAAGCCAGGCCAAATCACCAACCTGTCAAATAAAATGCAAGTCATCAAGTAACCTCTGTGAATAACCAAACATGTTCTGCATGTATCAAGTTGTGTTTTTCACCACTGTTAACTGGGTGACAATCATAGTTTTTGATTGAATCAGTTTACTTATTTCTAGGTTTTACATGGTTCCAGATAAAGACCCGTCTTTTCAAGACCTTCAACATTACTATAATTTTATAAGTTCCATTTTAAATGAATATACTAACTTTATTAAACTATTCTTTACACTGGCCTAAGACTTGAAAACGTTGCCAATCTAATCAAAAGAACCTACAATTATAATAAACCTAAACCCACTTGGGCTGAAACTTTGATATACTAAGGAAACTCGTGAAATAACTATCATGAAGTGATGAATTTTATTACCTAAGATCAGAATACAAACAGTGTTGTATAATTATTGATGTTTCTGCAGTGACAGAAGAATATCATGTGATTTTTTTTTTAAAATCCAAGTATTCTGAGATGTCTTCTTATTATTTAAGCTAAGTTAAACATTCACTTAGTGTGATGGGTACCATTAACAGTCACAGTAGTAAACTTGATCACTTCAAATTAGAGAATTGCTTTCCACGTTTGTGATTAAGCCAAAGGAATATGAAAGTTCCCACTTTGTACAAACCTATGATTTGGAATATCAATTGGGTCACTTGGGTTATAATAATTCCGGCCAATTTGTTGCAAATTCATGATTTTCAAAAGCCTAGAAATTGAAAAGTCAGAATAGTTAGAAGTGAATATTGATAGATATCTCTATTGGTACAATCTGAATGGCAAGATGTTCAGTGTCCATCAATAAAGTTTTATTGGGAAACAGCTATAACTGTTCATCTATGTATTATCTATGGCTGCTTTCATGCTACAACAGCAGAACTGAATAGCTGCCACAGAGACTGTACAGCCTGCAAAGCCTAGCATGTTTACTATCCGACCCTTTGCAGAAAAAGTTTGCCAACTTTTCATTTATAAAAAAACAAATCTACCAATTACATTAGTTCAAAACAAGTATCTACCAAACAAATTCTCTTATCATCAGTGAGAGTTATCTAATGGCAAACTTAAAAAGGTAAATTATAAATCCAAGTACAGAGACCCTTGAACAACACAGGTTTGAAATGAACAGGTCTACTTATACATGCACTTTTTTTTCAACCAACCACTGATCAAAAAATACAGTATTCGTGGGATGTAGAACCTGCATATATGGAAAGCAGACTTTTCATATATGAAGGTTCCACAGGACTAATTGCAAAACTTGAGTATGTAGAATTCTTGTATATGAGGGGGTCCTGGAACCAATCCCCTATGGATATCAAGGGAGTACTGTAGTATGTCCCAATATATTCTCATGCAAAATAAAGCCTCATCCAGAATGCTTCTCACCACCCCACCAAAAAAAAAATCTCTGCAGAACACATCTTGATTTCAGATTTGGAAACTGTATGTACACTAAAAGCAAACTATCAACCACGTAGGACGTCTCCTGTGATGAAATGAGTGTTTAGAGCAGCCCTAACTCTCTTTCTAATCAAGTACCCACCATGGGGAGAAGAAATATAAACTTAGCAATAGGCTCCTGAGGGTTAGTGTGTTCTTAACACAAGTTCAAGTAGTATGTAAAATATCTAATGTCAACACAAATAGGGAAGTTAAAACAGAATACTTGCTTAAAGCAAATTTTATATCAGTAAACCACACCTTAAAATGATCACAATTAAGACAAACCCAATAATCCCAACATTGCAAAATCCACATAATAAGTGTACAGGTATCCACTGTAAGGTTTAACTTTTCTGTATGTTTTAAGTTTCTCTTAATAAAATGTTGAAAAAATACTAACATACCTTCTGAAAATAATATTATAGAACTGCAAACAAGTTGGTGATGTAGGTGGAAGTTCATTTGTTAAAGTGATTGTTATCTTCACATGTTCTCCATTTCGGGTCTGACTAAAAACTACAGTAACCTGAAGCCAGGGAGGTGGAAAACCAAACTTAATTCTTAAAAGAAAACTAAGCCCAATCATTCAATGCCTGTTTAATAAGGTAACACTGAAAAGTATAGAAATTCTTTAAATGGATTTTTTTTAAATGGCTATGAGAAAAGAGAGACTAAGTGCATGTATTATAATTCGACTGTAATCATTAAGTTACTCAAGTAGACTTTAGAATGATACAATAAGGGCAAATTACACTTTGGGTTTATTTTAAGTACCATCAGACAGGAGACACCTGGGTTCTCTATAAAAGCCATGTGAACTACCCTATATTGTGACAGTTTTGTTTTGAAGTGGAAATCTCTCATCTCCCTCTTCCCCATAAAGACACTGAAATAACCTTGTTCTGTAGTCTTTTAGGTAAAAATAATATTGTTCCATCAAAAGCATGACACCTTCCAATTACATCTTCGTGCTGAAAAAGAAGAGCTGAACGGAGTCTTCTGGCTTCCATCAGTGGGTTATAGTCAATGTGATACTGATATAAAGCCCATTGGGGACGGGATGTTAACCGGAAATGGTTAGTGCTCAACCTTACTATAACGCCTGAAGAACCTGTAAAAGTAAGTCACATTCAATTAACAAAATATCAAGCTTATTCTTTTCTGAAATCTTTCCTACCATGACAAGGCAGACAGATCTGTAAACTAAACGCAAAGAGAAGCAGATAACATGAAAATTCTGATATCTGACTTTGGGGACCACTATTCTATTTATTTAGGTAAATTCCTAAAGAATCATAAATTTAGAAATACATCCTCCTTAGACTAAGTAATTTACAATGAAACCAACCAAATCCCTATATGGAGAAGAGTTTTAAAGAAAAGTGATCTATATAATAATTAATGAAACAACATTTCGAAATGTGCACTTAAAAACATCTGTTACCTATTTCATCAAAGCCAAGAGAGAGGGAGGAAATGGAAAAGACATGCTCGGTCCTTGACCAAATGTACTTTTTCTTCCTTGTAATGTCATCATGCAAATAAATAAAGTTCCTCAATTCACTGTCCTGTGTACTTGAACAGTAATCTCATGAAACTGTATTCTTAATTAACATACCTGTTTTTGATTCTTTAACATGATCTAGGTTCTGTCTCGTATTCACACCAAGATCGTGAAAATCTCTACGACGACCTCCTCTCTCTGCTAATGTTAATTCATGAAATCCAGCAGATATCTGGAGTTCTTTAAAAAGGACTCGTATTCACACCAAGATCGTGAAAATCTCTACGACGACCTCCTCTCTCTGCTAATGTTAACTCATGAAATCCAGCAGATATCTGGAGTTCTTTAAAAAGGAAAAAAATTATATACTTGGGTGATATTAAAAATGAACTGAAGGATGATAATATTAATTTCCATAATTCCCAAAGTATACTGAGGTATTAAAACACATAACAACCAAAATGTTTTAGGTATCTGCTGGCCAAACAAGAGAATGGTTTCTTAGTTACAACTTCTTTCATAAAGTCTTTCTTGTCACTGCCCTAGACAAACTCAGTTGCTCCCATACAAGGCATATACATTTTAAAAGGTCAAGACAATCGAACTATGATGCAAGAGCTCAGAAGCATGCTTGTTAACTGGGAGATTGTTTTTCTGTATTATAAGCCTGATAACCACCTAAAGGCTTTAATATCAGTATTTTCCACAATCTGTCATGATGCAATTATTGCTACAGGAATTGGTAGTTTAGAGGGCTTAAATCTATAACCTGGATTAGAAAGCTTAAATATAAAAGTGTAATTCCCTCACTATTTGATTCCCACAAGAACCAGAATAGATGCATGCAGCTAGGCAAATCCCATGGCCCTGACACACAGCTCATATTGGAATAGGTAACAATGTATTCATTAACTAGTTCATACTTAGTTCCAAAAGCTGTGGTTATAAGAACCTAAATTATTAAGTCATTCAATTTGGAGAAAAGTGTACAATTAAGTATCTCAGATCAATATAGGTTGTTAAAATTCTAGCTGTCAATTAATAGGTATGTTATCTTTTGTAGAGAATCCTATTAGTTGACTATCCAACAATCCTTCTCCCATTCTTCTTCAGGAAAAATGTTTATTTTGGGAGTAATACACCTAATAGACTAGAATTTCCATCCTCCCTGCTGCTAGAGTTGGCCTAAGATTTCAGCAGAAATTGGCAGAGGAAACTTTTGGAAATGCTCCTTAGGAGAGTCGGTAGACTTGTGCCTTTTATGTCCTCCATGCCCCTTGCACTGCCAATCTTGCCTGGAATCTGGATATGACGGAAGGAAGGAGTTCAGACAGCCATTAGGAGCCAAATGTTAAGTATTAATAATAGAAGTCATGGACTCTAGACAAAAGAACAAAAAGATCAAACAGCCCACTTCTCTTCTGATCACAAACACCAAAACCAGCCCAGAACTGCATTAGAGAAATAACAGTGGCTTAAACAAAATAATTCAGTTCCTGATATACTTTGGAAACAAGTTACTTAATGTGTCAGTTTCTTCACCTGAAAAATTGATGATAAACTTCACAGGCATGTAATTAAGTCTCAAACGAGAATATCAGCTATAAAGCACTTTCAAGGTGCTGCTATGTTGGTTTCAGTACCTCATGATTTGCAGGGACTCTATTTAAAAATCCTTTAAATATGTTACTGTTCATATTCATCTCCCTTAGTGAGTTTTTTATCCCCCAAACTTTCAGTTTAAAGCAATCAATCATGGCTTTGGCTGAGTAACTATAACTAACATGGGTCATGCATACTGAATCCAACCTGATGGCAATAAGGGGTCAGTAATTTTTTCATGACAAATTTTAATTTGCCTTTAAAAGTTCATTTCTGATGCAAAAATCCAATTATGAGTTTCTGAACATGAACAACGATAAAGTCTGTTTCCCTTTCTTCATGCAGTACTACTACTATTACTTTCAGGCAAAGCTTAACTGTCACTCTATTCAGATCACAGATTTCAGAATGGATAAGACTAGAAACCTTGCTAATTAATTTCTGCTCCCATGCTGCTGTCAAAGTGGTTTTATTCAAAACACAAATTAGATCTCACCATTGTTCTATTTAAGGGCCCTTCAATGTGTCAACAACCCCATTCACAGAATGAAAATCAAGGTCCCAGACAATATTTCAGTAGAGAGATCCGTGATTCTTTAAAGTACTGCTGGGACCCCCTGAAGAGAATTTGTACACTAGTTACTATTCCATGTTTGATACAATACACACACGCCCAAAGTCCTTTTACCTTGTGACTTGGCTGCTGCTCCTACTGCTCCTCTCTGTCGTCCTCGGCCAACTAATTCCCCTTCTGCTGGTGGCTGTTGAGGTCTAGGCTGGATAAAACCAGGTTGCTGACTCTGCAGTTATATGCAAATAAAGAGTGTGTCAAGAGAGCGCAGATAACCAGATGAAATAACAATCTTAAACAAGTCTAAGACATTCAACCAACACCTTTCTAAATTAGTAATCAAATATTTTATTCTTAAAGAGAAATCTGAGAGAAGAGTCACCAAAAAAGTCAAGAATTAGCTGCTTATATCCTCGGGAAAGAGAGCACGATCTCCCTCGCTCAGTTTTTATCTCCTTCATGAGACAGAGTTTTTAGTCTATTTTCAACAGCCTAAGCTGACCAAGGTTCAAAGATGTTTTCTGGAGTAGGAGATGGTAAGGCACTCACTGCAGCAGCCCCCACGTGTTGGACCACCTCCTGGCCACGCGCCCTTCCTCTGGCTCTAGCTCTGGCTCGCCCAATCATTTTTTTTCATGAGAGAAAATAACTGTGAAAGACAATACTCAATGTACACAATTATATTTGACTATTTCTACAATGTTACCGTTAAACTTATTTAATTAAACTTATTTAATTAAGATTCTAAAATAAGCTCCTAGGAAATTATGTATTTTTCTAATCTTTCTCAACATATGGTTTTTTAAGGCAAAGTTTCTTCATTCAACATACTTAAGTGCTTACTGTAGAAAAGTTACTGTAACAGAAAATTTAGTTTTCAACTGAATTATTTACTATAAACAGACTTTAGAGGGGAAAGTGTTAACAGACTCAAGATGTTGTGACTGGTTCACTCCCATTTGGGAAGAGAGAGAGAGTATATGTGTATAGATATGGTAATACATATATATATGAAAATATATATGGATATATATATACATATATATAAAATCTACTATGAAACCAGGCATTTCTGGCACGTTTCCTGCCAAGCCTCATAGGTAGTTCTTTTGCATATATGTTGTATCCTCCTGGATCTTCCCACAGGTCCTTTGTAGCTTAAACTGAACACACCCAAACTAAAATCTCTTGTCTACTTCATTGTTTATGTCCCATAATTTCATTCTTGGTGAGTGGTGTCACCATCTATTTTGTCTCTAAAGAAAAATGAGTCATTTATCTCTAAACTGCTCCATTATTGCTCCTACATCTGTTCTAACAATTCTCTCCATTTCTTCAACACCTCATCGGTGTTAGGTGCGTACTATGAGCCAGGACCAGTGTTAGATATCAGGTATATCACCCACTCACTCTCATTAGCAATGTCATTAGGTCATTAAGGGTAGAGGCCTCAGAGCTCCATTGCCTGAACCCTTCACCTTCCCATTTTAGACTAGTAACCACGAGCAAACCACATGACCTATGCCTCATGCCTTCATTAGTAAAACAGAATAATCTACTACACAGGTCAATTGTATCAAATGAGAACAGAGTGCTTAGAAAGTACTTGGCACACAGTGAGCAATCAACAAGTATTAGGCCTTAGTGGAAAGGGCAGATAAAATTATAACTAGAAATTTTAAAAAGCGTAATGAAGGAAACAAGCAGAATGTTCTTACCAAAAAGAAAGCAGGAGCTAATTTACAGACTAAATAGATCCACCTCTAATAACAAGTCAACTGGGATGTAGAAGAATTAGGAGCTGGAAGGTAGGTAGTAACAGTCTTCCCGACAAGCAGGAACAATCCATACCTAAGCGCTGAGAGCTTGGCTTAGATGCAGAACTAAATGAAAGATGTCCAGTGTGACTGAAATGTAATGAATGAGGACAACTGAGAACTCTGAGGTGGGCAGGGATCAGACTGCACAGGGCCTTGAAGACAACAGTAGGGAGGTTGGACTGGTTGTTCAGTGCATGAGAAACTCACTGAAGGTCCTAAATAGGGGCAGGTTATCTTTTCTTAGTTAACAGTTTCTAAAATTCTCCATAATGATCCTCCTAGAAAGACAAATCTAATGACATTCTCCAATTTTAAAGACCTCGTCAACTTCCTACTGTGTTCTAAAGGATTAAAAGCAAATACATTAGCTCATCATACAAAAAACCTTTTAAAATCTGACTCCAAATCAGCAGTTTCTAAAGTAGGTTACACTAGATATTCTGCTGATGTGCCAGTATGTTCCAACTAATTTTTATTCTCATTTTAAACTACTTTGCATTTATTTTATAATACATTTATTATGACAGTGGCTATAAATGCATACTTAGCTTATATATTGGATGTATATGCTCAAAAGTCTCTTACTGATGGTATGAAGAATCAAGTCTGGAACCTTCTGTTGGAGACTCCAGCAAACAACACTTTCTTTCAGGGATCAGACTGCAGAGGGCCTTGCCGACAACAGTAGGGAGCCTGGACTGGAGTTCAATGAATGAGAAACCACTGAAGGTCCTAAATAGCGGCAGGTTATGACATCATTTACACTTAAGATCACTCTGCCACAATCAATTTCATGATTCACCTTATACCAAGACATATCCTTTGCTAAAGTGCCTTACCCTCCTTTCTAAACCACAAAAATCCAGTTGATCCTTTAAGTACCAACTCAAAAGCCATCTCTTCCACCCTTTTCTCAAAGCTTTGTTTCCACACATATTAGAGCAGGTACAACATGGTACTTGAACGCACTGTTAACACCTCCAGACTAGGATGCTAATCACAATTTAGTCCTTTGCACCTCCTCCAGTGCCTGGCATCCTAGCAATAACTATGTGAAATAACTAAAAATCAAAACAAAAACCTAGTAATAAGGTGACCTGCCATCTCCAATAGAGAATATTCTTAAAGTAGCAGAGTAGTTCTCAAAGTATGGTCTCTGACTGCCAGCATTTAGAACTAGTTGGAAATGTAAATTATGGGTAGGGGCCCTGCTTCCAGGCCTACTGTTAGAAACCAGTTTCAACCAGTCCTCTAGGTGATTCCGATGATCAAAGCCTGACAGCAGCAGCGCAATATTCATGTAATCAGATACACGTTGGCATGACGACTCAACGTCCAGGTTTACCCGGTAGAGTTCTAGTTTTTAGTTTTGTCTCCTTTCAATTTCAAAAGTATCCCAATCTGGATGACAAATTACTTAGTCACTCTCAAGGTAATAAAATAAGTCTGTGTTTCCAATAACCACATTAACCAGCAATGACATTTACGCCAAAATGATTCCCACCTGGCTAGAAATGTACGTCTAAAATACGCAACAAGGCGTTATTGTAAATGCTACTGCACGATACACTTAAACATGGTTAAGAGCACATTTTATGTTGCATGTTTGTTTGCCAGAAAAGGAAAACAAAACACAACACAGGCTGCATGCTGTTCTAGATAAACTTAGATTACAACGCTGAAGGAAACAGTGGTACGAATCTTTTCTTCCGCGCCAGCCACAACACCCCAGCGGCGCCCACCTGCATGCCTAGGCGGCCCTCCACAGCGACCCCTGCCCGCGACCCCGCTTTTACCACATTTAACCCAACCACGGTAAAACGGAAGCCCCAGGAGGGCAGAGCCTCTTCCCAGGAGGCTTCCCCGCCTTGGACGGGGGCGGGGGCGGGAGCGGGTGCTGTCGTCGCGGCCGCATTGCTGTTCCCGTAGCCATTGCCTTGCCGGCCTGGGAACACCTCCTGAGGGCCTCTACCGACGGCAGTGAGAGGGGAAGCACCAGGCAGGAGCAGCCCCGCCGCCCTCCGCTGCCGCCCTCGCCCCTCATCCCCCCCGCCCATCCCCGCCCCTCCTCAGCCCGGCCACCAGTCGCCGCCGCCCATCCCC